TAACTTATTAATAATGTTTAAAAAATTGAATTAAATTGAAAATTTGATCTCACTGTTAATAACATATTAATAATGTTAATTAATATCGTTTAATATTAATATTAGTTAATATTTATATTATAAATTTATTATTAATTTATGTATTTGAATTTCGACTGTGGATTACATTTTATACAGGAGAGGTTGTTATAGTGGTGAAACGCCATTAGAGATTTTCGATGGATCGATACCATTGGCCGTTATGTGGCAAGTGACATATTGACGATGTCTCTTGCATTTTGCACAGCATGCGTGTCGCGTATATGAGTTGCACACACGTGACGAGTTACTGAGACGTGGCAGAAATTTCAAATTTAATATTATAAAATGGCACAAATCTTGTGAATTTCAAACGATTCACAACAACTTATGCAATTTTTTTTTATACTTTAACAAGGCATATTTAATAGTTCAAGTATAATGTGCGTGTGGAAATTTTTTTTCATTTTTCAAACTATATGTGTGTAAATTTAAATTTGATTTTTATTTGTCAAATCAAACTGTATGTGTAAAACTATTTTCAAAATACGAAATGACATCGGTAAATGAAATAATTTAAGGATTAAATTTGTGTCTTCAATTTATTTATATTTGCCTAGAATTTTCACAATTTTAACGATTTCTTGTCGCGTATATAGTATATTTATGTTGAAATAGTCCAATTTACCGTTACTGGTCTGATAGTAATCATCCATTACTACTGAAAACGTTTACGGTCTCGCCTATTCTCAATCTGGGTCGTTAATATTAACGATCATTAAAATGGTAATCAAGCAATCAATTGCTTTTATTTTTATCTCTCAAGATCCTTAAATTTGAACTATTTTTATTATTGTATTACAAGTTTATATGACAAATTAAAAAACGGAAAAGAATAATTTTTAAATAAATAGCTCAAAATCGATCATAAAATTGCTTTTCGATTTTGTCTGTATTTTCAATTTTATATTTTTTCATGAATGAAAATTTCAAAATTTTTAATCGTTATTTAATCCTAAAAGGCGGAATTCGTGAATATATATAAATGCATGTGTGTATGTGAGTGTTTCCTCGAAAAGCAGCGTTCTCATCTGGAGATTTGGTTCGCTTTGAAACTAAATCGTTTACTTTCATGAGCCATTCGTAGAAACGTGTGCGGCTCTTGGATTGCTAAATTTAGGATTTTGCTTTCTGTTAATGAAAGAGAATGTAAATTATATAACTCCTACTTAGATAATTAATGATTGTCTTTATATCCTTAATTAAACTCTCGTGGAAATTATTATCAACAATGAATTTTCAACCTAATATGCAGTGAATTATATTCACTTTTTTTTATTAATTTATTCATTTTCCTTGTTGTAAAAAAACAAAGAATTATTAGCCCATTTCAGCAAACTATGCTAAATATTGTTTTTTTTTTTTAATACCTATTGAATAATTTTTTTTCATAACAATATTGTAAAATAAAGAATAAAATAAGGAAAACGATTATTTCATTATGTAAGCAAACAAAATCACGTTGATGTCTTTCGATTGATAAATAAGGAAACCAATGTTAATAAAATTGCTAATTTAGGAGCACTTATTGTTTAAGAAAGACGTAAAATGTTTAGGTAATACCAAACGTTGATTTCCCAAATTAACTTTCCATTGAAAACAGTATATCCTTTTGTTCTATCAAATTGAGAAATAGGCGAAAAATGTCAGCTACAAATTGAGCAAGTAAAATTGCATTATTTTTTATATTCATTTAATTAATTAACTATTTTAACCCATTAACGACCAAATGCTTATATATTTTTGTCACGTTCTTTGTATTTATAATTTTATATTTTATAAAATTGAATAATTCCAATTTTACAAAATACAAATACATGTAACTTTCATATAATAATTCCGCATTGTTATATTTATCTTTTTTAAACAAATATTTCATTATTGTTTTTCCATAGCAATCAAAATTCTTCAAAAGATTCAAATTCAAACCTTTTTGAAATAACAACTTATAAAAAATCGTTATAAAACATGAAGAAATCGATCACTCCGAGTCTTCGACTCGGAGCAATCGATGTCTTCATGTTTTATAAATAATTAAAAATGACCGATTGATAAAATCATTATTTTATATTTTAAGAATATTGATACTCTAACTTATTCAAAATTACTTTCATCACTTCAATTCAATTATTGTTTTCCAGAATTTTTAACTAAAATTCTTCTTTATATAAAGTTAAAATTAATTATTTTTAATAATTTTTGAAAAATTTCTTTGAAAATTTTCAAATCCTTTTTGTTTACAATTCAATTTTACGAAATTTCATCGATTATTCGAAAATTCTTCAATAAAATATATATATTAGAAAATAAAAACTTCAAATAACTTAAAAATTCAATTAAACCTTTTCAAAAAAAAATTAAATCTACACAATTTTCAGTTAAAAGTATAAAAAGTTCAAACATGCAAAGATTATAATTTGAAACCTTTTCAAAATTCAATTATTTCTAAAAATTCACGTTATAATACTTTCTCTCTAAATTTGAATTAGTAAAAATGTTTATTAATTGGAATTGGTGAGTGACTTTTTGCTTTTAAATTAGTAAATTTTACTATTAAATTAGTAGAAACGACTATTTTTGGTCAAATCTGCTAATTCAAAAGCAAAAAGTCAGTCACTAATTCAAATTAGAAAACATTTTTACCAATTCAAATTCAGAGAGTTTAATATTCAATTATCTAAAGTTTTAACTGAAAATTCATATTTAAATCAATTTTTATTAGAAAATTCTACGAGAATTCAATTATTTAAATACAAAAGTAAATAATATATTGATGAATTAAATGTTTCTTAAAATTGAACGCTCATTTAAAGAATTTTATCAACAAATTTTTAAATAGGTAATTAAAATTCTTTTTACGAATTTAAATAAAATTTTTAAGAATAATTTCATTTTTCGAGAAATTAGATTCAAATTATATTGAAAATAATTGAATCTCTGTAACAAATTTGATTGAATTGAGAAAAGTTTTTAAAAATAATTGAAATTTTGTCAAGAATTTTATTAAAATTTTTGAAAATAATTAAATTTTGGAGAAAAATTTTATTATTTGTAAAGATAATTGAAATTTTGACTAAAATTTTGAAATTTTAGACCATAATTGAATTTTTGCGAAGAATTTTATTACTTTTGAAAATAATTGAATTCTTGAGATGAATTTAAATAATATTTCTTTTTAAATAATTGAATTCTTTTGTGAAATTTTATTGAAATATTAGATATTGAAAATAATTGAATTTTAAAAAAGTATTGAAATTAATTAAATTTCTACGAAGAACTTTATTAAAATTATTTTGAAAAAGAATTGAATTGTTAAAAAGAATTTCATTAAAATTTTTGAAAATAATTTAATTTTTGCAAGAAATTCAATTAAACATGTAAAAAAATTACGAGAATTCAATTATTTAAATACAAAAATAAACAATTTTTTGAAGAATTGAATGTTTTTTAAAATTGAACTTTAAAGAATTTTATCAATTTAAATAAGTAATAAAAATTCTTTTAACGAATTTTGAATAACATTTTAAAGAATAATTTCATTTTTCGAGAAATTGGATTAAAATTGTATTAAAAATAATTGAATCTCTGTAAAATATTTGATTGAATTGAAAAAAGTTTTTGAAAATAATTGAAATTTTGCCAAGAATTTTATTAAAATTTTTAAAAATAATTGAATTACTGCGAAGAATTTTGTTACTTTTGAAAATAATTGAATTTTTGAGACGAAATTAATTAATATTTGTTTCTAAATAATTGAATTCTTTTGTGAAATTGTATTGAAATAGTAGATATTGAAAATAATTGAATTTTTATAAATCATTGAAATTAATTAAATTTCTACGCAAAATTTTATTAAAATTATTTTGATAATAAATTGAATTGTTAAAAAGAATTTCATTAAAATTTTTGAAAATAATTTAATTCTTGCAAGAAATTCAATTAAACATGTAAAAAAATTACGAGAATTCAATTATTTAAATACAAAAATAAACAATTTTTTGAAGAATTGAATGTTTTTTAAAATTGAACTTTAAAGAATTTTATCAATTTAAATAAGTAATAAAAATTCTTTTAACGAATTTTAAATAAAATTTTTAAGAATAATTTGATTTTTCGAGAAATTAGATTAAAATTGTATTGAAAATAATTGAATCTCCGTAAAAAATTTGATTGAATTGAAAAAAATTTTTGAAAATAATTGAAATTTTGTCAAGAATTTTATTAAAATTTTTAAAAATAATTGAATTTGGAGAAAAATTTTATTATTTATAAAGATAATTGAAATTTTGACTATAATTTTGAAACTTTATACTATATAATTGAATTACTGCGAAGAATTTTGTTACTTTTAAAAATAATTAAATTCTGGAGACGAATTTTAATATTTCTTTTTAAATAATTGAATTCTTTTGTGAAATTTTTTTGAAATAGTAGATATTGAAAATAAATAAATTTTGATAAAGCAATGAAATTAATTAAATTTTTACGCAGAATTTTATTAAAATTATTTTGAAAAAAAATTGAATTTTTAAAAAGATTTTCAATAAAATTTTTAAAAATAATTTAATTCTTGCAAGAAATTCAATTAAAAATGTATTGACAATAATACTTAAATTCTAATAAAGAAATTATACTAAGAAAAATTGATTTAATATTAAAAAAAAACGTTTATGTCGCGATGGAGAATCGAACCACAGGCCTTGTAACCATGGTCACATTTACTTTTATACTCATATTATTATCTAACTTTGATAATTTCAACTGTTTAAAAAATTGTAATTTCAAGTAATTTATTACATTGAAAATAGGAAAATACTGCAATAATAAAACTGTTGAAAAATAGAATTATTGAGATATAAGATATTTGCCAACAATGCTCGTGATTGAAGCGGCTAATGGAGAATAATATTTTCTGATTTCAGGACAACGAACAGCTGACGACATTTGCCCACTTGTCGGACTACCACGTATACAGGATTCCGAACGCAAAGAGGTACTTCAACGCACCCTTCGAGTGGGGCATTTGTCTGAGACCGTCGAGCAACGCAGAAGCAGAAGACACGGAGGCTGGTGAAGCCGGGTTCAAAGTGATAGCCTTCCACAGTGAAAAGTCACGTGCCTGCTGGCTCACAGCCATGAGGCTGGCAAAGGTAAGTCGAAAAGAAGCTGCTTCTTCTCTTTTTATCAAAGACCTGACACTCATCCCTCTCTGTTTTTCTTTTAATTCATTTCTTCTTTCCTTTTTATCGAAAACGTGCACAAGAGATTTTCTCTCGCTCCTCTATAGAACTGATCATCAACTTAAATCTATTTGATGTAAAAATAAAAAAAGAAATCTCAATGTCTCATAGTCTTGAAAGTTCTTCATCGTTTTGAATTAAATATTTCGCGACTGTTGTTGAAAAATTGCTGACCGGGACTTTGTTTCTTTGATTTATTTCTTCTTCTTAAATGACTTGTGGCTACGCGGAGTAGATGGGCGGGGCTTGTTTCGAAAAGGGAGGGGAGAAAGGCGGTATAGTGGGGGGACGCTTCTCCGAAATTTGTGCGCGCCACTTGGTTACTTCTCCAGTTTTTAATAATTAATATACTAAATCTTAGTCTAATTGAATAAATTAAAATTTGATTATTGACAGTTTTTGTTTTCGTTTTTGTCATCGTTTTTTTAATAAATCATAATTTCAAGAGAATATTATTTCTGTAAAGGGAAAAGAAATGAAGGGAGCGATAAAAAATACTATCAGAAAGTGAATGGAAAATGAATAATGAAAATATTACGGATGAGTGAATGATTTTGTCTCAGTCGCGCGTATATAGGATGGAAATGACGTGTTACGTAATCAACGATGAAAAGGGTGGAAAATCGAGTTATGGAAGAGAAGGATATAAACAAATGCGTCAATTCTGCTCGGGTTGGTTGGCCTCTCGAAATTGCTTTTCTGCTGATGAAGTTTGTAATGTCGGGTGTATATATGTATACAAAACCCGTCCTAGGAAGTCCAATAGAGAGGAAGTCGACACTCGAGAATGACTTTGAGTCTACACTTTCCAACCAAGAAGAATAGAATTCTAAAGAATGGCATAATAGGAGATGCAGTCCATAGAGACTCCCGTTTTACGGAAGTCATTTTGCTTGGGCTTTTACCATATAGACAATTCAGATCATATATATTTTTCGCCTTCTTCAATTATATCATTTTTCTTACAAATATCCATTATTAGAATAATAAATTCAATTTATAAAAAAAAAAAAAATATTTTTTTTCAATAATGGAAATTAATTTTAACAAAATTTCTTCTGAATTTCTGAACAAAAGTTCGAACTAGTTCCGTAAATCCCGTGAAGGTCCGTAAAAGTCGTTGTTTTTAAAAAAGAAGGTCGGTAATTCGATTTAAAAACAGTTACGAAAAGTAATTTGGAGAATTTTAGAGAAATTACAAATTATTGCAGAAATTCAATTATCTTCAAAAATGTTCAAAAATTCTCGTCAAAATTTTAATTATCTTTAGAAATAATTAAATTCTTCTCCGAAATTCAATTATTTTCAAACATTTTAATAAAATTCTCGGCAAACTTTCAATTATTTTCAAAAATTTTTCTCTTTTCAATTTTATTTTAATTTTAAATTTTGATTTTAATAAAATTTTCCAAAAGAATTCAATTATTTAAAAAAAAAATTAACAAAATTCTACGCAAACCTTAACCCCTTCGCTGTGAGGAGAAAAATTTATAAAGTGGGTCCAAAATGTTAACAAATTTTTTGGTGACCAAAATTTGTGAGATTGGGTACAGTTAGGTTTTGGGGGCCGCTGATGACGAATCTGAAGTCAAATTTTCAAAATTCAAAATGGCGGATCCAAAATGGCGGAAGTATTTTTTTGAATTCATCGGATTTGCTTGAAACTTGTTACTCGGGGGTTTTCGAGGTCGCTGATTCCGTATATGAAGTCAGATTTTTTAAATTCAAAATGGCGGATCCAATATGGCGGACAACATTTTCAAAAATTCATCGGATTCACTTAAAACTTGTTACTTAGGGGTTTTGGGGGCCGCTGATGACGAATCTGAAGTCAGATTTTCAAAATTCAAAATGGCGGACGTATTTTTTGAATTTATCGGATTTGCTTGAAACTTGTTATTTGGGCGTTTTCGAGGTCGCTGATTCTAGATAGGAAGTTACATTTTCGAAATTCAAAATGTCAGATCCAAAATGGCGGACATATTTATTTGAATTCATCGGATTCGCTTAAAACTTGTTACTCGGGGGTTTTCGAGGTCGCTGATTTGGATCCGCAATTTTGAATGTTTAAAAATCCACTTCAGATTCGTTATCAGCGACCCTGAAAACCCCCGACTAACAAGTTTCAATCGAATCCGAGAAATTAAAAAAATACGTCCGCCATTTTGAATTTTGAAAATCTGACTTCAGATTCGTCATCAGCGGCCCCCAAAACCCCTAAGTAACAAGTTTCAATCGAATCCGAGAAATTAAAAAAATATGTTTGCCATATTGGATCCGCCATTTTTAATTTTTAAAATCTGAGCTTAGATTCGTTATCAGCGACCCTAAAAACCCCCGAGTAACAAGTTTCAAGCGAATACAATGAATTCAAAAAATACGTCCGCCATTTTGGATCCGCCATTTTGAATTTCGAAAATCTAACTTCATATTCCGAATCAGCGACCTCGAAAACCCCAGAGTAACAAGTTTTAGGCAAATCCAATGAATACAAAAAAATATGTCCGCCATTTTGGATCCGCCATATTGAATTTCGAAAATCTAACTTCATATTCGGAATCAGCGACCTCGAAAACCCCCGAGTAACAAGTTTTAAGCGAATTCAATGAATTTAAAAAAATTAGTCCATCATCGAAATTCAAAATGGCGGATCCAAATCCGCCATTTTGAATTTCGAAATTCTAATTTCATATTTGTAACCAGCGACGTCGACAACATTTTGATATAATTGTGTGAAATATTATTTTGATATAATAATGTATGCTGCCTGAGATTTAATATAATAAAAGTATCATTCAAAACAGTCTACTTTTGAGCAGCCATATTGGATTTTGATTTTCAAATTTTCAAAATTTGACTTCAGTTTCGAATTTAGCGTCGAAAATACCATAAGTAACGTATGTGTGACGTAAATATACTTGTTTTTTCTGCCTTTTATCAATTTTTTTGTATGTACGTCTATAGACGTACCTCACACTGGAAGCCCACTTTCAAATGTACGTCTATAGACGTACCCTCACAGTCAAGGGGTTAATTATTTTTATAAAATAATAGAAATTTCACAGAAATAGAATTATTTATAAATTTTTTATAAATTTCTTAGCGATCATTCAATTATTTTCAATATAATAAAATTTTTACAGGGATTCAATTATTTTCGTAAATAATAAAGTTGTTCTTAGTGATTCCATTATTTTCACAATGATAATAAAACTCATAGCAGAATTTCAATTATTTTTAATACAATTTTCATCAAATTTCTCAAAAAATGTAATTATTCTTAAAAATTTTATTAAAATTCGTCAAAAAAAAATCAATTATTTAAAAATTTTAGATTTTAAATATATAATTGAATATTAAAAGCATTAGAGTGTGATAATTTTTTTTAGAAATAATTGAATTTTGAAAAGGTTTCAAATTAAAATCTTTGCAAATCTGAATTTTAAAATACTTTTAACTAACAATTCAGTGGAATTAATTTTTTTCAGAAAGTTTAATTGCGAATTTTTTTTAAAAATTATTTGAAGTTTTTATTTTCTAATTTAATATTGAAGAATTTACAAATAATTGAAATTTTGTGAAATTGAATTGTACACAAATGAATTTGAAAATTTTCAAAGAACTTTTTCAAAAATTATTAAAAATAATGCATTTATAGAAGAGTTTTAGTTAAAAACACGAAAAAAAATGGGAATGTTACAAATAATTACAGAAATTTTATTGTTTTCAGAAGTAATAAAATTATTCGCAAAAATTCAATTATCTTCAAAAATTTTTTTAAATTCTTGTCAAAATTTTAATTATTTTTAGAAATAATTAAACTTTTCTTCTAAACTAAATTATTTTTAAAAATTTCAATAAAATTCTTGGCAAATTTTCAATTATTTTCAAAAATTTTTCTGAATTCAATGATCTTTAATATCTGCTATTTAAATAAAATTTTCCAAAAGAATTCAATATTATTAAAAAAATATAATACATTTCTACGCAAACCTTTAATTATTTTTATAAAATAATAAAAATTTCACAGAAATTGTATAATTTGTAAATTTTTTATAAATTTCTTAGCAATCATTCAATTATTTTCATAAATAATAAAATTCTTTTTATAGAAATTCTATTATTTTCATAAATAATACAAAATTTTATTAAAATTCGTGAAAAGAATTTAATTATTTAAAAATTCATTAATAAAATTCTTCGTAAGAATTCGATTTCAAGAAACATGCAAATATTCAATAAATTGTTTTTTTAAATTCGAATAATTGAAGTCTTGTTGAATTTTCAAATAAAAATTGATTTAAGAATAATTTGAGTTAAAATTTTAGATTATTAATTATAATTGAATATTAAAAACATTAGAATGTGAATTTTTAGATATAATTGAAATTTGAAAAGGTTTTTTCTTTTAATATATATTTAATAAAAGAATTCAAGAATAATTGAAATTTTGTAAAATTTAATTGTAAACAAATGAATTTAAAATTTTCAAAGAACTTTTTCAAAAATTATTAAGAATAATGCATTTATAGAAGAATTTTAATTAAAAACACAAAAAAAAATATATAATTTTAGAAAAGTTACAAATTATTGCAGAAATTCAATTATTTTCAAGAGTAATAATATTCTTTGCAAAAATTAAATATTGTTCAAAAAGAATAAAATTCTTCTCATGGATTTAATTATTTTCACAAATAATAAAACTCATCGCAGAATTTCAATTATTTTTAATAAAAAAATTATTAAAATGCGTCGAAAGAATTCAATTATTTGAATTTAATTATAATTTTATATTATAATTTAATATAATTATATTATTCTCTATTTATTACACAAATAAAATTACCTAAAGAAGAGAATAAAACCACAATTAAAATAAATAAACAAATGAACAGAGTAAATAAAGAAAA